TGATTAGTTTACTTTATGTTATTTTTCAGCTTTTTTGCGTTGCTATAAACACATATGACATATTATTCAACGCATTGCTCGCGCAGCTACTTGGTGACGTATTATTTTTTACGTTTTAAAGTTCGTTCAATGAAAAATGTTGGTTGAGCTTCAGAAAATGCAAATTGTTGAAACAGAGCGAGTTGTTAAAAAGAGAAAACAGATGGGAGGAAAAATTAATAATGAGCTTTTTAGGAACATTGGAGGACATTACACTCATTTTAGATATTCATAGACTATTTAGCGATGCCGTAGGAGGGCCGCACAAATTCGTTTCTTCGATCCAGAAGTTGCACCACTCCATAAAAGACGCAGTAGACATTAACATATGAAAGATTTACGAGGTGACTCTATACTTTGCACCTCACCACCTGCATTTCAGAAGTTTTTCCGTGAGCATGCGTAATTGCACGTGCTCCCTGAGAAGCAAGGGAGAATGTTGAATTCATAAAAAAAATGCCAGTCTCCGTTTAATCTTGGACATGGACAGCTTTACAGAATTAGCACACGTAGGTGTCTAAATTTTTTATATTTTTATGTATGAGTTTCTAAAACAAGAAGGATTAAAAAATATATTAACTGTGTCTAGGTGATTGGCGATAGTGTTTTCTCTCTTTATTATACGAAGATGTTGGCTTTACAATTTTTATTAATATATTCGTATATATGTGTCTGTACTGCGTAGTCGGAGAGATTTTTATAAACAAAGTAAGTGCTTGTCGTTAGTACAAATAGATATTACATAACCAGTGTTTCTTTTGTCAAGTTAAGAGAATTCCTAAAAATCTCAATCTACTTTGACACTTTACATGAAAGTTGGTTTTAAATTCATCATTTATGTTAGTGATGGAATCGATACATATTTCATGATGCGGCAATATTTATTTACATTCCAAATTATATTATTCACATCTTATGTATGTCTATGTTCAATGTATCAGTACCACAATTTTCACTGTCGCACTGTAGTTTCGTTTATTATTATCATATATATACACGTATGCAATTATAAATAGTTCGCACGAATTTATTTCGCCGCGTAATGATATTTCTATCGCTTAGGGGCTTGTGTCCTGTATCGTTTTAACGCGTAGGGACTTATGCCCTGCCGAAGACTCGAACGCGTAGGGGCTTGTGCCCTGCCGAAGTCTTTAACGCGTAGGGGCTTATGCCCTGCTTTCGACCCGTGACAACGCCTAGCGACGTGCACCCTGAGCCTATCTAAGGCAACGCCTGGGGATGCCGTCGTGAGCCACTCGTGGTCGGACGGACACGCTGTATCGCTTAGGCCTGTTCTACAATACGTCGTATGTCGGGTTGTAAGCCGTAAGTCGTAAGAATTGACCAATCACACATCGAGTATTCTCCTTATATTGAACTGTGATTAGACAATTCTTACGGCTTACGACTTACGGCTCGACATACGACGTATTGTAGAACGGGCTTTAAGGCCGTCGCCTTGTATCGCGTTCCGGCTCGAGCACACACTACGTCTCGTTATAGTCGCGTTCGTATGACAGACTCGCTCAGTGGGATAAATTTATCGATCTGCGGATCGAACTCGAATGAAGCCCGACACCCGACTTCCGACGACAACGACCCTCTTCCGATTCCCTTCGGATCGCTTCCGAAAATGCCTGAAGATCTTTATCGATCGGTGATCTTTGAATAACAAGCCGCCGATACCGCGGCGGACCCATAAATGCGTAGGAAATTTTTTGACGTCGCGACGTATCGGTAGCAGCCCCGGAAATCAGGCGCCGAGTCCTCGATTGACAATATGCCGCAGTTTTGTTATTCCACGTTGCGAGAATGTGCATGAATGTATATGGACGTACGTATGTATGCGTGTGTGTGAGTCGGCCGTCTTCGCTTTATTTGTCGTGCGCGACTTTTATGATTTTTATATGTTCTATCGGAACAATCTATAATTTCGAGTGTGATCGTTATTTTGAAAAAAAAAACATTCACGTATGTAGTCGTTAATAATAAAGAATATTTAAAAATTATAAAATTATAATTATTAATAAATATAATGTTATGATCATAAATTACGGGAAAAAAATATAATTGTAACAAAAATATTTTTAATACTACGCCCATTCCAAGATTTATGTATTACAAAATGTACGAAAATGTATTTACTGTCTATAAATTATAAATTAATTAAGTTCAAAAATATGTATATGATATGTATATGATATAGAGCCATAATATTTAATATATTAAATACATAATACATTTAAAATTAATAAAATTAATTGTAACGTGGTTTGCATTACTCAACGATAACAAATCTAATTTAAAGCTAATCTTGTCCATTTATCATTTTCGCTATCCACAATGCAAAAATCTCCCTCGGGCCTTTTATATTCCGAGAAAAGTAATTAAATTCAGAACAAAAGTGCTAGTTAAAAATAGTAAAGACGTAATACGGTTACGCGATACTGGCGGTCAAGTTCGTAGTACTCGTAATGCTTGTTGTCCTTGTTTAATGTATATTAAATAACAATAATAAAAAGATTCCAAGAGCGCTCTGACAATTGGATCGCAGCCACCGTACGCGTAATTTTCAACGCGCAGTTCACCCTATGCGCCTACGTGATATGATCTTTGATATCAGGATCAGTGCATC